GCCCTATGTGGCTTTGTACCATGATTTTGTCAGTGACGCCGAGGCTGAGACCATCAAAGGTCTGGCGGGACCCTGGGTGAGTCGTTCCTGTCCCCAACAATGTCCCTCTCCTAGAGGAGGATGCCCCAAGAGCTGGTGCTCTAGGATGGACCGCCTTGAGCATGCAAAGATAGGAGGAGGTTCAAGCCAGGGCTTAGCCAAAGCCTCCTGCAGCAAAACTCCAGAGTGGGTGAGGCCCCCCCAGAAGGTTTTGGGGTGAAACCAGGTCCATGCATGCACCTAAACCCCCTTCCCAGCCAAGCTTGTCTTGGTGACACCCAACTGCGGTGTATCCAACTGCTTCCATCACGCCGGTGGGACACCTCGGGGTGGGGATGTTTGGCCACCGACTGGTATAAACCCCCCCCAGTTTCAACCCCAACCGGGGTTCCTGCTTGGTGTGGGGGGGTCCCCATCTGCAGCGAGCAACATCCCCCCTCCACCTTGTGTCCACCAGCTGCAGAGGTCCGTGGTCGCCTCTGGGGAGAAGCAGCAGAAAGCCGAGTACCGGATAAGCAAGAGGTAGAAGCCACCCCACCCCTTGTCCTCCAGCCAGTGGGACCACCATGGCCCCATTGCCACCACTAAGGTGGCAGTGAAGCCGTGCTGGGGAGGCCTGGGTCCTCCCCACCCACCAGTGCCACGAGGGTTAAGCCCAGCCACATAGTGAATTTGGGGGGGGCTGAAGGTGGGGTGCTCCCGCAGCGCCTGGCTGAAGGACACCGCCGACCCGGTGGTGTGGGCATTGGAGCAACGCATCGCTGCCGTCACCGGCCTGGACCTGCGGCCACCCTACGCTGAGTACCTGCAGGTGGTCAACTACGGGTTGGGAGGTCACTACGAGCCACACTTCGACCATGCTACGGTCAGGGAGCTGCCTGCGTGGTCTGGGAGGGTGGTCCTGGGATGGTTCCTGGGGTGGTCCCTCAGATGGTCACCAGGGTGGTCCCCCGGATGGTCTTGGAAATGGTCCTTGGGGTGGTCCCTGGGATGGTCTTGGAAAAGGTCCTTGGGGTGGTCCCTGGGATGGTCTTGGAAATGGTCCCTGGGGTGTTCTCTGGGTTGGTCCCTCAGATGTTCCTGGAGGTGGACCCTGGCATGGGCCTCATGGTGATCCCGGGGATGGTGCCCGGAGCAGGTCCCTGGGATGGGCCTCGGGGTGGTGGTCTCTGGGTTGGTCCCTCAGCTATTCCTGGAGGTGGACCCTGGGGTGGTCCCCGTGGTGATCCAGGAGATGGTGCCCAGAGCAAGGGCCTTGGGGTGGTCTCTCAGATGTCCCTGGGAGTGTCCCCTGCAATGATCCCCGTGATGCTCCTGGGATGGTCGCCTGTAGCGGGAGAAGTCCCTGGATGTTCCCTGGGGGGTGTCCCCATGGTGATCCCTGGGATGTTCCTGGGGAGGAAGAGGAAAGAAAGGAGAGGGAGACCTTTCCCTGGGGGGCAGCTCAGAGCCACCGGCTCTGTTAGGGCGTGAGGTACCTCCAGGCCAAGCCGTGTCAGCACGGGACTGACCGTCCCCACCTCCTCGCTCTTGGGGCAGTCCAGGAAGAGCCCCCTTTACAGAATGAAGTCGGGCAACAGGATCGCCACGGTCATGATCTATGTGAGTCCTCCCTCATTTCTGGGCCTAGAGAGAGAGAGAGGCTGCACTTGCTTGGTCATCAGTAGGGTTCAAAGTGAACAGGGGTTGAGATGGGTGAGGGCGGGCCTAAATCAGACTGTGGTGGGGGGTTAAATGACAGAGAGCACAGAACAGTTAAGAGCTTGTGCCATGCTGTAGTGAGGGAAACGCGGTTGGGGACCAAGGGAGGTTTCGTGCCTCAGTTTCCCCATGCAAAGCAGCCACAGCACAGCGGGGGAGGGCCGTGGCTCATATTTTTACTCCTTTTCCAGCTAAGCGCGGTGGAGGCCGGCGGCTCCACAGCTTTTATCTACGCCAACTTCAGCGTGCCCGTGGTTAAGGTGAGGGGGACCCGCACAAGCCCCTTGGGAGTGGAGAAGAGGGGGAGGAACGCTGTGTGACCAAGCCTGTCCCGATGCCAAACCCCAACCCTGGGGTTCCCTGATCCATTTTGGGGTGCCAAACCCCTAATCCTGGGACTCCTGGTTCCCTTCAAGGGGTGCCAAACCCTGATCCCGCAGCTCCCAGCTCTGTTTTGGGGTGCCAAACCCTAATCCTGGGGTTCCTGTCTGTGTTCTGGGATGCCAAAATCCAATCTCGGGGATCCCAGATCTATTTTGGGGTGCCAAAACCCCAAGCCCAGGACTCCCTGCCCTGTTTTAGGGGTGTCACACCCCAGCCCTTGGGCTCCTGTCTATTTTGGGATGCCAACCCCAATTCTGGGACTCCTGGCTCTATTTTAGGGTACCAAACCCCAACCCCAGCACTCCCAGCTCTCTTTTAGGGGTTCCAAGCCCCAGTCCTTGGTCTCCTGCCTGTTTTAGGGTGCTAAACCTGACCCAAGGGCTCCCAGCTCTATTTTGGGGTTCTAAACCCCAATTCTGGGGCTCCTGGCTCCCTTTGAGGTGTGCCAAACCCCGACCTCACAGCTCCCAGTTCTGTTTTGGGGTGCCAAACCCCAACCCCTGGGCTTTCAGCTTTGTTTTGGGGTTCCAAACCCCAATTCTAGGGCTCCTAGCTCTGTTCTAAGGGTTCCAAACCTCAAGCCCAGGACTCCCAGCTCTATTTTGGGGTTCCAAACTCCAATTCTGGAGCTTCTGGTTCTGTTTTAGGGGTTCCAAACCCCAAGCCCGGGACTCCCAGCTCTATTTTGGGGTGCCAAACCCCAACCTCTGGGCTCCTGTCTCTGTTTTAGGGGTTCCAAACCCCAATTCTGTGACTCCTGGCTCTGTTTTCGGAGTGCCAAAACCCCGGGGCTCCCACTCCTCTCTGCTCTGCAGAATGCGGCTCTCTTCTGGTGGAACCTGCGGAGGAACGGGGACGGGGATGGGGACACCCTGCACGCCGGCTGCCCCGTCCTGGCTGGGGACAAGTGGGGTGAGAGACGGCGCCGATATCACCCCAGGGTGACACGCGGTTGGAAGGGCAGCTCTGCCAGCAGGGGAGGCGAGAAGGGCGGGCAACCTGGAAAAATCCTGGAAAATAGGGAAAACCACGTCACCCGTATTGGGGAGGGGTGTGGGGGGACGGAGGCAGACGGGGGTCCTTGTCCTTGTCCCTTCCAGTGGCGAATAAGTGGGTCCATGAGCACGGGCAGGAGTTTCGGCGGCCGTGCAGCACCGATCCACAAGACTGAGCCGCCGTGGGCTCGAGGACGTGACACCCATGGGTGGAAAAGCCACCGCGGCGCAGCGTGTCCCCAAGGCTGCCAGCAAGAGGAGGGAGGGAAGGGGGTGGCAGTGGCACGGGGCGATACTGGGGATGGTGGCGCTTGGCTAGCTACCGCTGAATCCGGTGAATATAAATAAAGTTGAAAGACACTAAACTGGAGTCTGGGGGAAATACCTCGGTGTGGTACCCCATGGGATGATGTGGGTCTGTGGGTCTGTGTCCCCCCACTTCTGATTGCAGCCCAGGCCCTAAACTCATCCTCAAAGGACCCTAAAAGCTCCCTCCTCCAGCCTTAGATGCAAAGTCCCTCTGCTAAAAGGACTAGCAGTTAGTGACATAGCATTTCTACGGCCATCAGTAGGCTTCAGAGTGAACACAAAGGTCATAGAGGACTAGAGCAAAGCTGGTACACTGTCCTTCCTCAAATAAACCTGTTGCAGCACCTGGCTGCATCTTGGGCCTGACTGTGCAGCCCCCTACTTTGTTCTTGTTGCAACAACAGCACAGGGCCCCTTCCCCTGCCCCCCAGAAGGGTGGTTGCGAGTTGTTTGTTTTTTTTTTTTTTTTTTCTGGAAGAGGGACCTTGAGGAGGGAGAAGGCAGCTGCTGCCTTCCAGCCACCCTGGCCCCCGGCCTGCCCACGCTTACCGGTATCGCTCCCCCGGGACCTCGCAGACAAACTCCCTTTCTCCGGCCCGACCGCAGCCCCGACGTGACTGGAAGGCGCAAAGAGGCAGCAGGGCTCACCGGCAGCGCCCGGAGATCGGGCAGGGAGCACGCACGGCTCTTCCCTGGGGCACTGGGGATGGGGACTAATGCTGGAGGAGACCATCAAACTCCCCCCTGTCACACCCCCCCCCCCATTCTGCATCCATCCCACCTCATCATTGCAACTTTTAGAGATGAAAATCTTCCTGGATGGGGAGGGAGGGAGTGCCACAGCCTGGGGAGATGCAGCTCCCCAGAGTGGGGGGGTCCAGGCCACCCCCTCGCCTCTCAGCCTCTTTGCTAGATGGAAAGAAAAGGACAAAAAGTGGGGAGGGGGGATAGAAACACCAGGCAAATCTCTCCCTTTGCTCTCCTATTTGTTTTGGGTTCAAAAATTTGCATTTATCACTCCATGGCTGCATTTATCCAGCCCCAGATTAACCCTTCTGTAGGCACACAGGGGATGAGCCGTGAGCAGGAGCTGGAGCAGCAGGAGGAGGCTACAGGAGCCCTTCTGGGCTTTCTTAAACCTGCTTGAATGTAAAAGCCCGCAAAATTTCAGAGTGAATTTCCCCAAATTCCTGCTCTTCAGCTACAAACCACCACCCCAGCATTCAGGGTATTATAAAACAGACGGTTCGACACAGCACAGGTTACTCAACAGCCAGAGCGCCATGGTTTATTACTTTCAGATGTTTCTGTACACGTTGGAGCCGGCGGTCATGGAGGCGAGGGGGGAAAAAAAAGCAAAAGCTGTGGCTAAAGCATCCCTCCCCCTCCTCCTCCCCCCACTGGAGCGCGGAGAAGGGGTGGGGGAATATTTTGGATTTTCTGTGAGTCACAGAAAAAGCCAAGGCTTAGGGATGGCCTAGGAACAGCCGGATCGACACCCTTCCTTCCCAGGCTGCTCCGAGGAGCCTGAGTACCGCAGCTGAAGGGAAAGAAGGAGTTCCTACACCAAGCTTTTCACAAATGCTTTATTTGTAGGTGAGAAACGGACACTGAACAAGACACAAACGGGATGAGGCTGACACAGGACAGAGAGCGCAGTCTCCGGAGAACTGGCATACACACACAGGTTTTCCTTTTGGAAACAGCAGCACATGGTAAGAGGTCACCCTGCCAGACTGGGAAAAATCGGCTTAAACCAGCCAAACATCCAACAGCAAAGCTCCGAGCAGCTACCCAAGCACTATCCCGTGGGTTTGGGATGCCTTACGGACAAGGTGCCGAGGGCGCAGCGTTACCGGATGGATCAGGGCAGACGATGCAGCCCAGGGAGGCAGGTTTGGGCAACACAAACAGCGGTTTCAGGTTGAGAGCGCAGCGCCAGGCTCAGAGCCGGGTGTTAAAATGCACCAGGGCCAAGTTTTCTTGGAAACGGCAACCCATAAACCATTTTTTGGACCTTACCTGAAGATCTAAGGTCTAGATTTTCAGGAGTGTTGAGCACCAGTTCAAACCAGTGAATGGCTGATTGTCAGGTACCTCTGAATATCGCTCCTCCCGGGCCCTTCAACACCCAAGATAAAAGGCAATAGCAGAGGGGAGGAGAAACACCAGCGTTAAAGTCGAGGAGGTGGAGAACATCAGCACAAAGCTGTTTGCTCCCTCCTGCTCCAGTACCTGCCGGGTGCCCCTCCATTCGCTGAAGACCCTGTTGAACGTGGCAACACACTGGGAGAAGTTTTTGGAGTCCTGGCATTGTCTCGCTGAACAAGAAGCCAACAAGTGGCTTTGCCCTATTGCAACTGCTCAGCTCCGTGTTACAGAGAGGAAAAGCAAGGAGGCTCACTCTGAACTGCCCCAGCACGGTATTTACTGGGCTACTGGTGTTATCAACGGGATCTATCACAGCAACACCACCTCTGAGAGCTCCCCGACCATGAGCTCCGTTTAGAAGTCGCTCCATGCTTTACTGTAGTGATGATTTTTTTTCAACGAGTGTTTTGGTTGCACAGAAGGTGACCTAAGGTTGCAAAAAGAATAGGTGTTTTTAACTGGCTTTGGTATCATCTCCCACTCATTTCACATCTGGACCAGGGCAGAATGAAGACCAAAAAAAAAAAAAAAAAAGACAAAGCTCAAAAGAAAAGCAAGCTCTGTACAGCAGTGCGACTCAGCAACCATTTCAACATCTGAGTGTCCATGTGTATCAACTGCCCCCGTCACTAACGGCGTTTTCAAACCATGAGCATGGAGGAACCGTCTTGGCTCAAGCACGTGCAAAGACACGCAGCCAAGCTCTGCATTCGCAGGATGTGTGTTCAAAGCAAAGCTACACACTTCTGCAATACAGGAAACGTCTTTTTCCAACAATCTCAATGCTCCTGGAATCTACAAATCACCGAGGGTTTTGTCCGGTGCATATAATCCAGGAGCTGGCAAAACCTGCCCCGAGTCTGATTTGAAAAATTTAAGTGAACCCTGCAACAAAGCAGCCTCCCAAACTGCATCTCCTGCTCCTGACGAGCCTTGGGATTTTCCATTGTGAAAGTTTCCACTGATCCTCAGTCCAACAACTGGAACAAAAGCACGATTTCTAAATAATCAGAACCGCCAGCTGAAAACCAGCAGCTTTTCAATTCAAACAGCCCCCTCCTGTTTATCTGCTTTTACACAGACACAGTACAATGCTGCAGGCTGTGGAAAAATGCAGTGAAAAGCTGGTAGTTATGGGGGGATTTTCTAGATGTCTCCATTACTCATGAGTCAAAGGGAACATTTCTTCTCTCTGCAGCTACTTTCACCATGGTCTGCGCTATCCTTTACCTAAACACCATCTACCTCTGCCTCTAGCTCCCTGGAAAGGGAGAAGAAACTGCAACAGGAGCATCAACATTTTTCAGACAAAATTACAGTCTCAAAAATGTATGTGGCTCGACACAGCCGAAAGGAATTCCCCCTCCAACCACCCACCTGCTATTGCTGCAGTCCCTGTAGTCACCTTTTTTCTGAAGCCAGCACTACCCGAGTCCCTGAACAGCCACCTATTCTGTGCAGGTCAGGACTGAGAGCTCGGCACGGAGCAAACGCCACATTAAATAGGCTGTTGAAATATTTATTTTTTCACTCACTTCTCAAATGTTAACAACAAAATATAATTCTGGGGAGCCCACAGGTTTCAGAAACAGTCATTCATTTTCCAATGGTGCTTCTACAGAATACAAAACCAATTTTCTTTTGCTTTCCATAGAGGGTTTTGTTTTTTGTAGGTTTTTTTTTAAGATCTCACAAACTGTAAAAGCAAATGAAAGGGATAACATGAGAGGCAAACGTGAGGAGTTACTGCAACGAAACACTCAAAGCCAGATCCTCCGAGTTACTTCAGCGTGGAGGAATGTGACTTTACCAAGATCATTCATGAGTATGACAACAGGCACATGCTCAACTATCCCGTGAAGTGAGACTCTGGCCATACGCACTGTATTGTTTAATCTCTAACAATCTGAATACAGGATTCATCTGGAAAGGACCGAGAATTTTGCCAATCTGCAGGATACAGCTGGGGAAAGTGCTATGTTGCATCTCAACTACTGAAGATCCATTTAATCCATCAGCAACTAAAACAGGGGTGGAGAGTACATCAAGATCACAGTAAACTAACACAATAATTAACACGGTGACTTATGGAGGGAAGCGCCAGGAGCCAGCAGTTGCTCTTTTAACACCTGGGTGCTGATGGCCAAAGTGCCAGGAGAGGGGGGAGCTCTCTGGAATGAGACTTTCTTGTCTCTAATTGAGGCATTTCCCACCCTGATGTGTCAGGGAAGGGACACAGAGCAAGGCCACGACTGCTGCGTCCACGGCTCACATGGGAATGAATCAGAGATGAGTGGCTCTCCATGAGGGTAAACGCCAGTGTCAAAGCAGGCTTTGCCAGCTCTTCACACCATCTCCCTCTGCCCCACCTGCACCTCTCAAGCGCCAAGAATTCATGATGGCTCTTGTCACGGGATACACGCCTAGATGCACGTTGCAGCTCCCAAATCAGGCCAACAACAGAACTCTGCCTCAGCAAAACACCGTTAAAATACTGCTTTCATCGTACAGCATCAAGGGGTCATGGACACAAGGCAAAAAAAAAAATAAAAATTTCAGACATCCACCAGCAAAACATTGAGGAAAACTACTCCAAAACATGTCTGCTCTTATGCTCAAGAGTGATTCTTAGGTGAAAGCAATATGATGAACTGTCTGTGAATAATTTAACCCTGAAGAAAAGCTCTCTGTGTAACTACTGCATTTACATGGAAATATGGAAGGCAGGCAGCAAACCGATCTAGGAAGTGGCAATGAAAACACAGTCTTTCCTCCAATACTGGGGGGAGCATAACGCAGCAGGAGCTGCCTACACCTCTGCATCAACATCAGCAGGACTGACTCCAAGCTCTTCCAGGGTTTTATCTACTGTACATTTTGCATTTTTTCATCCAAAAGGCGCTGATCTCTGCTCAGTTGTGTGTAGCAGCTACAAGAAGGGAAGTATAAACACATTCCAGGCACAGAGAGCGGCCAAACAGGCAAATGCCTGCAGACCACGGCGTTACTGCTGCTCTTGGGTCTTCCCCATAAACCCAGGCCCAGAGTCCCCTGCCTGTTATGTGTCTGCAGTAGACAGTTATCCAGGCTACTTTTCTCAGTGAGAACTTGAAACAAGTATTAAGAAAGCTGCAAGACTCTGAAATGGAGCTCACGGTCCCCCCTCGCCTTTTTGTTTTACAGTCCCATCCAACTTAGCAGAGGAAAGGAGCATCTAGGCTCTTCCCACAGCTTACCCCATCAGGCTGGCACTGGTGAGATGAAACCTGAGCTCTCAGCGAAGCCAATTCCTCATCTGCTTTAGGGGCAACGTGTATATAAAAAACAAACCTAAGGGGCACTTCAAAGACGATTAGATGATTCCACGGAGAAATCCTGAAGCCTTTGGCTACGCTGCAATGCCCTCGGTGGACCTGGACTGCCAACGGCCCCTTTGCAGTTGGGTCCAAGAAAGCCTGAGAATTGATGGAGATCGGTATGATCGACTACTTGGGATTTCAGGAGGTTTTTCCTTGTGGCAGCAGAGAGGAGCCCACTTTCGAGGGCCTGAAGAGCTTTTCATGGTCTTCAGTACAAGCTGCTTCCCAGCAAGGAAGTCCCTAAGCATTTACACATTCTGGAGAACTAGTTCTAGGGGATGAATCTCACACCAACTTCTCACTGCTGCTGAACTGGAGAGATGAAAGGATATGGATACATCACAGTGGCCTCTGGTGCAGTTTATTTACAACAGGACTCAGTGCTGGAGAACACCAGGCTATTAACAAGCAGGAAACACACTAGGAGGAAAAAGGAGAGTGGAAGAAAGGTCACACATTAAAAATCAAGGTGTTCTCTGCAGATATTTGATCCTGCAACACCCTACAAATTTAGTTGATTACCCAAGGTAAAACAAGGCCAAAAGGAGTCTATCACACAGGTTAAAATCAGCATTGATGCATTCAACAGAAACTTGTAAGCTACGTAACAGTAAGAAGCACAAAAGTTTAATATGTTGCTGTCTGTGGCTTAAGGACAAAATAAGGCCAGCAAGCCACCTCACTTTCCTCAACCCTCTCATTTTAAAGCTGCTTCTGCTGCAACCACAATAGCAGGAGCAACAGGCTACTGCCTTCAAAGGCTCACGGATAACACAGGTTGCCAGATACCTGGTGGGGATTCAACATTACAATGCAGTACAGTCCTTAGGTCTTCTCCCTCCCTCATCATTTACACATCCACCCACACTATATCCTTTCACTGGATTTAAAATATGCAGTCCACAGTCCTACACTTCTCCTGTTTCATCCCCAAGGGCACGGGATAGAGGAAAAAAAAGAAAGAGATCATCCAGCAGTGCCTCTTTAGCATTGCCAGTCCTACAGCATTACACATCTTGGGGCTTACAGTTTTTGTTGAAGAATTCTTAGCTAAAAGCAAGAACAACTTTCAGGACTGCTGAAGAAACCTGCGTATTTTACCAATTCACCTGAAAGATGATCCTAAACCAGGTTAGCACCTTCTATTAAGCATTGGTTTAGTTATTAGTTTTATAACTAAGACTTTGGGAGTTTTTCCAATCAACCTTGGCAGTCACAATCTACTCTCACCCCTGTGTGGCTGATTGCAGAGGCCTGGCTTCTACAGTTCATCGTGATATGAAAACACATGAGATAAGTACAGAAAGTCTGCAACGTGAAGCACATGGCTTTACCTGTCTAATCTCACCAGTGTTTCTTGGCCAAAGAAGTGTGGTGCGAATTGTTTCCAAAACACGGGGCCTCGATTACTTAAATAAAATGCTATTTAAACTAAATACCATAAAGCTTGTAATTCTGCCTTCTGGCAGGCTACAAAGAAAGGAATCAGCTAGGGACAATCTGCTTTGCTCCTCCCCTCCAAGGAAGGAGGTTTCATTAACACAAGTTAATACGTGAGAAGTTTAGACAGAACACGTAAACATCAAATATTTAACTGGCTGTGATTCAAAGCTGTTTGTCTACATGTGGTTTTTGGCATTATGGTAAAACTCCAACCTCCCACACTGAGAGCCAAGCGTGCAGGCAGTAAGAGCAAGAGCTCTGCTTGAGCACTGCACAGCTCCAGCACCCGCAGAGCCTTACCACTGGAATCCACCGATGGGCTCTGTAAACCTGTGACGGATCAGGAACGTCGCAACAGCCTCAGCAACCTGAGGGAAGGGAAAGAAATCTGTCAGAATGTAAAGGGACATGAAGACAACATGAAATCCAGTCAGTTTTCAAAGCCTGCAGCATTTCCAACAACAGCTCATGACCTCAGGACCCTCCTGCTGAATCAAGCTTGCTCCTTTAAAACTAAAAGCTCTGTATAACATGCTTTTATATATATATATAAAAAAAAAGGAATGACATGCTTCCACCTTTACTCTGACACTGATCTCACAATCAAGAACTGACTGAACTTTTTCTCCACCTCCTTCAGTAATTCTTACAACAAATGCCTAAGTTTAGCATGGAAAAAAGGTCTGGTGAAATCACGATGCAAATTATTCCTATAAAGACTTAATCAAGACAGTAACCTGACAGTAATAACACTGTTTAGAATGTATATTAAAAAAAAATAGCAATGTAAGAACTCCGTATATTTAGATAAAAATCCCTATTGCAGATTGGTAAAGTGAAGCACAGAAAGGCTGAGTTTTACACTCACAGTGGTCAGTGTAGAACAAGCTTTAAAACCAGACGTGTTTCCGACCACAGACTCCGCTGACTGCACCACATTCCTGCTTCCATCTGGACACTAACTCCAGCAGTACTCAGAAGCAGCACTGCTCTGTCAGTCTGTAAACTGTTTCAGTAACATTTGTTTTGTATTTGGAAGATGTGAGCCACCCACCTCGGAAAAACAGAGATCAACCCCCCAAAAGCTGCAGCTCAGTACAAGGGAGAGTGGAGAACTTCACGAGGAAAGGCAGGGAGGATAAATCCATACTCCACATAGTAAGAGTGTGGAGGCTAAACCTGTAACCCAGCCAAGCCCTGCGTCATGTTACATCTTAGTCCAGGCTTTCCAGCCAGCTTAAAAATCCAAGCTGATTTGAGAATAGCCAGTTAAGATGTCATGCCAAAAAATGCTCCTGAAGTATAATCTCTGCTTCATAGTAAGCAATGGACCACCCCTTTTGCATTAAAACTGTGAAGACCTTGATTTATCCAGCCTCAACCCCACAGTGGGGCTCACCTTGTCTGGAGCATCTTCATGGACTGCGTGGCCACACTGTGGGAGGACCTGCATCTGAAACTTCCCTGTGGATCAAGAGAGTCATCACTGGAGCTGCTTTTTAAGGGGTTTTGATTTCTAACAGCAACGGTGTAGGCAAGCAGTTCTTGTGTACACAGGTAACATCAGATGCTACACCCTAAAATTTATGAACTCTTCCACAAAGGATCTCACATGCTTTATGAACAAACCTCACTAAATCACACTATATGCATCTGGCAAAGAGGGACCAGGGAAGGCACAGGAGTCCAGGGCAAACTGCACAATACACACAGCAGACAGTTTCCAAAGAAGGCAAGAACCAGCTGCATAATTCATCTTCCCCAGGTGTAATCAGAGCAAGTTCCCAGGAGTTAAAACAAAGCTAAACTTCTTAAGAGCTTCTCGACACAGGTGAGACCACCTTTCAGAGCTGAAACTTACCAGATCTACCGTAACATAACGTTTATCCTGCCACCCAATACTACTTTCCAGTATTGGTTGCTCTGGAAATCAGTGAAGCTGGGATGGGTAAAAAATTAAGAAAACCAAACCCCAGAACTTTACTGAAAATGCTGAATCTTGGTCTGATGTCTGCCAGAAACACCAGTAGACCAGACAGTTTTGGATGGTCCCAAGTGTTCTAGCTAGGAACATCAGGAATGTAGTTAGAAAGGGAAAAAACAGATTAGAAAGAAGCCCTCACAGGCAAACATTCTGATCTAGAAGCGTGGCAGCTCCACTGGTGAGAAACATTGAACACCAGACTGAACAAAACCCACAGCAACAGCACTTCACAACTTCTAATTCAACCTTTTGCTTCTCAACTTCTCCGCCTTTCTTACAACCACAGACAGTTGTCTAATGCACATTTGTTTCAATATAGACTGCACCTGGTAAGAAGCCACTCCAGCTATCTCGTTTGTGTACCCATAGCAACAAGCTATCATCCAAAAAGAGCATTATAGTAAGGATAGAGTAACAATATTAAATATTTACCTTGCATCTGTCCAATTGTTAGATCTTTATCCAGCCTGTCAACACCTACAATCAAATACACAGATGTATTGGAGAAAAGCCAAAGAGAACATGACTGTGTAAGCAAGGCTTTACTCGACATTTTGAAAGAGACATTTGGCTTGAAAAACGCAAAAGAAACATCATCTCTGACACTCACAAGGACTTTTCACTGATGCACCTCAAGAGAGTAAAGTGACAGGAAAGAATCCTAGTCAAAAATACAAGAACACATCCTTCCCTACAACTTAAAAGGGTATTTATCTTGGTTACGCACTTAATTTCCTATCAGGGTAAAAAGAGAGCCTACAGCTGGCTCTCGAACATCAATAATTTGACTTTCAGTTGAAAAGTTCAAATCCAGCCCATATCTGTAGGAAAATACCACAGTAGTGGAGGCTGAAGAGCAGCTTGGATCTGTCCTGTTTGCTCATCTTCCACATCATATAAGTCCAATACTGATCCAACAGCAGCAATACACCACATGTCATTATGTGATATTTTGACACTAAGGGTTCTGAATAATTCCAGATCTACATAGATCAAATGGAGTGGTTTATAATATTTCAAGATACATAGGAAAGCTGAAGTGGAAGAAACAGGTCTGCTATTTTCAGAGAAAGACATCAGCCAAACACTGAACCTATTCTCTAAAATACAAGTGGGATATCACTGAACAGCCAGTGAACCTCATCAGGACTGGAAGAGACACGTACCAGCTAAAAGCAAAAGCTTTGGAGTTGGACAGCTTAGGAAGAGGTTAGATAAACCCCTGAACCAGCCATCCCAGTACTTTTCTGTTTTTGCCAGTTCAATTCGCCACGTGTATAAGTGCTCCTTCTTTGTCTGCGGGGAGGAGAGAGAGCTCTGCATTAGTGATCAGTAAAACAGATGAAATAAAATGAATTCACGAGTGCCACCTGGAAGTATATATAAAAAATACTGGCTCCCTCTGGTGGATTACACACTTCCAGGGGATGACCCTCCTCGATCCTAAATTTCTCTCCAAATCACAGCCAAAGTACATGAGTAGGGAACAAGAATGAGAGGAGGAGCTACAGCCATAGATCAAGAGAAGGCTGCAGTATTCAGGGCACTCAATTTGCTATTTTTTACTGGAACAAACAGCTCAACAAATAGTCTGAACCTTCAGACTTGGCTCTCACTTAGGTGACACAGAATTACAAGGGGCTAAACTGGCTACAATGATTTTCCTTGAGGAATTTACATTCCTAAATTGCAATTGCCTGTATGGCCTCCTGAATGCTACTGCACATTGGAAACGAACAAAAATGCCACAAAGACTCAGAAAACAGCATTCCTCATTCGGGCCAGACGCCCCATTTCAGGCTACACGTATTATATCTGTGAGTACCTCAGGAAAGAAAATCAAACACATGCTTTCAGGTAACAGCTCAAGATTGAATTAGTGGCACGAGACAAAGAAGAAAAAGAACAGTCACAATATAAAGTTTTCAGACCCTGGAGCTGCTCCATTTTATATTAGAATGATCTGGATAACTACCGGCATCTACTTTTATATAGGAGCATCATGCAAACACAAGCTGAAAACGTAGCAAGAAATTCCCTACCTCTGTGTCATCTTCCTTCTTCCTTTTATTGACAGAACCTCCCCCTTCCTCATCCTCTTCTTCCTCCTCCTCCTCTTCAATAATACCCTCCACTATGGCCTTAGGACATTCAGGACTGGCAGCCCCTTCGCACCTGTGAAAATAAAACCAGAAACTGATTCCCTGCCAAAATAAAAAAAAAAAAAAAACAAACAAAAAAACCCAAAAGGTTTTAACCTAAAGTTTTCAGCGATTTCTCAGATACTGGCTGAAAAAAATCCCCTCAAGTTTAAAAGTAGCTGTGGATGAAAGATGCAGTCATGATTAGCCGTGGGACCAAGTGCTTGTGCAGCACATATATCCCAGTGCTAATATAAATGGAGACAGCAACTTAGAGGAGTCAGAAGTGGTCAAAAAATCAACAACAGCTTTTCTTAGCGGAGCATGAGACATTTGTAAGGGCTCCAGGTATGTCAGGGATTAGAGTGGCACAAGCAGGTCACTCTGATTCCCCCCAAACCCACCTCGGATCACTCCTGAAATACAACAGATAATTAAACAATTTCTAAAAGGAAGCGAAAGATAACATCCCCAGAAGGCCAACCCAACTTAGGTAAAATTTTTGAATCAGACTAACACTTATTTCTTCATGTGTGCAGAAAGGCAGACAAACCCAGGAATACACAACCAGCAGTAGTTAAACTTTTAAAAACATGGCTCTTGGAGTATTTTGCTCTGGGGAAATTATGGCCAAGTTTTCTCCAAGTGTCATGACTATGATTCAGTGCTGCTGCCGGTATCAACTGTGACCAAATCATAAGAAATTTGTATTTTTTAGAAGAAATTTTCACTTTCAAGTGTATTTCTGCTCTGTAGTTACAGTACTGTAAAACAGACAAGATGATTTTAAGACATTTTAAAAAAACAAAGCCAAAAAACACCTACTGTTTGACTTGACCGACCATAGAAACTCTGGCAGATTCAAGGTTTCTTATTTGTCCACTTTTTACACTAGAGGAAAAAAAAAAAAAAAAAAGATCAGAAGAGCAGAAATATTTATTAAACAGATTCAGAAACTATCAGGCCCAGAAAAAGGAGCAAAACCCCCTTTATAGCCCACAATTTCCCCAAACCTCCTGTTCTCAGAAGGTGTTCAGTGGCTCACACTATGTGACGACTTACTTGAACCCCCTGTTGTCACTGAAACTGTGAATTTAAAAGACATGTGGGAGAAGTGCTGGTGACAGGGGGACAGGGAGAGGTCAGAAACTACATGGGTATTTGGCAACAGAACTGGGCTTTCTGTAGTCCAATCCATAAACTTAACCACAAAGCCTCTCCCTTTCAAACTCAGCTGCCAAACGTACAAATAATTCCCGCTGAATCGGAAATACAGTCCTTTTTTCTTACACATGGGAGGGATGTCTCAAGCTTCTTCTGTAATAGTTGGGACACTTACAAGGAAGCTGCAATTCATACCATGAAGCTTTCTATTAGTCGAAGGTCTCAGAGGATCCTAACTCTCCCAGGCAATTAATTATCTGAGACCTCTCTCCCTGACAAATCAGCCAAAAATTGGCGACAACAGTTGGAGAAAGTGAGCGCAAAAGGAGAAAACAGACAAATTTGTTTCCTTCAGAAGTCAAGCTACAAAGACAAGTGATTTTGGAGACTACCTAAGCCCATGCATTACCTCCACTCAATGGCATTTTCAAGTGACTTGAATGTTTTGGGACGACTCCTTAAGAAGTTCTGCATGCTGTTCAATGCATCCATGGCTGTACCTAAAAATAAGTATTTTAACTTTATGGCATCTGATGAAATAATTACCACATCCCTCTATATAGAGCTGGCTACCAGGAAACACCCTCAGAGAGAGCTGGAGCTCACTGGGGATTTAATGCTGTTAAGGAAAGTACAGCTTAGTACTTCCAAGCCCACAGTCACACCTGCTCCCAACATTAGAGAATTGGTATTTGTACAGGTAGGACATTCAGATGGTGAGAGAAAGCAGTAGCCACTCATGCATTATATAAAAAGCCACTTTCCTCCCTGCTAATGAGGAATTATTGCAAAGAAATTATCAGGAAAATAGTGACAGGGAACCCACCTGGGAAAAGCAAAAGGAGGGGTCACACTAGAAAGACTTTTGTGTAGGTAGAATCTGTTAGGAGGACGGAATTGGCATTGGTTTAAAAACTGGGCAAGATTTTCTGTATTCAGGGATTTAGGGATAAAAGAAAAAGATTGGTGTGGAAGATAGAACCCCATCCAAAGGTACAGAACCCCATCCAAGGGTACACGCACTTACCTTCCACAACATCGATCATGCACAGACCCAATAAACTTGGCACCAAATTGGCAACGGCCGTGTGCACGGCGATGGCACCCCCCATGCTGTGCCCAATCAGCATGATAGGGGGAGGAAGGTCCCCATACAGAGCTTCAACCACGTTTCCAACGTCTCTGCCAAATCGAGATAAAAACATGGTTGTCATCACTACCTTGATACATTTCTGAAGCAGATTTGTATAATGGGAGGACAAAGTACAGATCCAAGACAGATGTCCGGCTCCAAATCCTGTATGTGTGCTCGTTTAGCCCACACGTAATTGCGACAGGTTTATGCTCTTCCTACTGTTTTATCTAGGTACCAATACAGGAAATCATTCGAGCCAATACTTTCCTGAACAAGCATGTCATTTCCATTATTAACGGAAAGTGCTCATTTAAAAGAAATCCCTGAAGAAAACATTTTACATTGACATCAGCTGGTGGGAATTTTAAATAAAAGGTGAGAAAAAGCTGTCAAATCCTCTTGCATGGAAGCACAGACTAAGAAATTCACTGTTCTGAAAGGAGAAACTCTTTGCAATTGAAGAGAGAGAATAACTGAACCCAACTGACCAAGGAAAAGATAAACAACACTGAGCACAAGCAAAAAGATTCAGACTCTTTATGATCCCAAATACTACAAGGCAAAGGGCAATTTCCCCATCCTTTCCATAAACCACCTACTTTAAATTGAAGCTGTCACTACAGCATGTGAAAGCTAGCTGGTGTGATTCACAAAACCCAGAACAGCAGAGCTCATGACTGAAATCAGTGGAAGAGCACTTTAGTTTGACACCCATATTGGCTTTCCTGACTAAAAGCATTCAGAGGAACTGAAGACCTGAGCAATATTGCAACTAGAAAATGGGAAACAAGTTAAAAAAAAAAAAAAAGGTTGACCAACTTGTTTGCTCTATCAGAGAAAACTGCTTGAGGATTTGATTAAAAAAAATGAAAACCAGCTATAATTTAAGGCTCCCCTTTAAAGGCTGTTCAGGAATAACTTCCAAGCTCATTGCTAAGAAGAGAGAAAGGTTTAAAAACAAAAGGAACTTGTTTTTCTCCCACGGTAGCGCTGCTCCAGATCTAAAAAATCCTAATAATTTCATACAGCATCTCCTCAGGACAAAAACACATCAGGATCTGACAAGCCGTAAGCAGTAGCAATAAGGTATACAATGCAAGTCAGAATACATTTCACACATGGCCTCCCCACAACAAACCAAGTGATTTATTCACATGAAGGTTACAAAATCCTTCGTGATTTAATTGTAGTCATAGCAAAGAGCCTCTTTGTACTAAATGTGGACGTAACATAATGCGCTTAGCAGTGGGTTATTTGCTTTTCTTACAGCTTTGTCAAGAGGGGGATTTGCATCCCAAAGCAGGTTGTGGGAACTTGAAAAAGCAACTCCCTCTATGCTTGAAAGTCTCAGTCTGTGACCCACACTTTGGGGATGCCACCAGTCCAAGGTGGGCACACTCGGAGCCCTCACTTGAGTAAGAACCAAACTGGTGATTTCAAGATAAAATACCCCATTCGATTACATCTGAGGAAAGCATTCCCCTTCTATTAGGAAATCTCTAGCAAGCGTTACAGTGTGTTGCAGGCTTAAAGTGTTCACTGCAATGAAGCCACTGATCTTTACAGTGAATTTAAAAACTGAGGACACCTAGAGAACAATTCCAGTTTGGAATCTGACTCAGCTGGAAGAGTTATAGAATCAATGGTTTGGGTTGGAAGGGATCTTAAAGCCCGCCCAGCCCCACCCCCTGCCCCGGGCAGGGACACATTCCCCCAGCCCAGGGGGCTCCCAGCCCCGTCCAACCTGCCCTTGAACCCTTCCAGGGAGGGGGCAGCCACAGCTGCTCTGGGCACCCTGGGCCAGCGCCTCACCCCCCGCACAGGGAACAATTTCTGCCTTAAATCTAAATCTGCACTCTGTCAGTTTAAAATCGTCACCCCTCGTCCTACCCCCACCCCCTGATCCAGAGTCCCTCCCCACCTTTCCTGTCCCCCCTTTAAGCCCTGGGAGGCCGCTCGAAGGTCTCCCTGGAGCCTTCACTTCTCCAGGCTGAACCCCCCCAACTCTCTCAGCCCGGCCTCCCAGGGGAGCTGCTCCAGCCCCCCCAGCATCTTCGTGGCCTCCTCTGGCCCCGCTTGAGCAGCTCCGTGTCCTTCTGCTGTTGGGGGCCCCCGAGCTGGCCCCAGCACTGCAGGGGGGTCTCCCCAGAGCGGAGCAGAGGGGGAGAATCCCCTCCCTGGCCCTGCTGCCCCCCCTGCTCTGGCTGCAGCCCAGGGCACGGGTGGGTTCTGGGCTGGGAGCGCACGGTGCTGGCTCATGGGCAGTTTTCCATTTACTAATATCCTTAAGTCCTCCTTTCAAACAAATTTCAAACTGCCCCAAAATGGCAGGACAAAATGGAAATTAATCTTCCAGTTCCCTTGAATGAAGGTTGCGTGTCTTCAAGTAGTTTATTGTTCACTCAAGTAAAGAAAATAAGTTTGTGAAAAGTGAAATACTAAAGAGAGAGCATAAGCTTCCTTACTTTGACATAGTCTCTGCAGACAGATCTTCAGGATTCCTAACTTTTGTTTCTCCTGAAATAACAAGAAAAGTAAAGTTCATGTAAGCTAGAAACTTTCAGTCTGCTCAGGAATTAGAGCAGCAACCGTACAAAGCTTTTTGGCACAGCTATTAAGAGCAAGCCTACTGCAGTTACCATGAATAATTAAGAAACCTGGAATTAATAGGAACAGTTGGTACTTTATCACATTATAGCTTATGGGTAGGAAACACTCTCCATAACTGTTCCACATTTGCAGTGTATCTTAACACTAAAGAACAGACCTTCTTTCTAATGGTAAAGATCACCTATAGTTTATGAAAATAAGGAGGGGGTTGGTGCCAGTACGTAGGAAGGAACAGGTCCACCACCGCCTTGCCCAAAGGTGCAGGGAGTCTCAGCTTCTGGCACTTGAGGACTTGTGGCTGCGGACCTCCAGAAGCCACTCAAATAAAATCTGGGATGCCTTAAGGATGCTTTCTTAGTCATCTTGGGAGGGAGTCATTACATCTTCTTCCAAAAACAAAAGCGTGTAACATGCTGATGTGATTTTAAATTTGTTTTACTTACCATGGCCTCGGAGATCTAAAGCCACGATCCTACACTGAATCCTGTTAATGATTGCAGACTGCAAGAAGGGACAAAGATAATACAATTTGCAAAGTGCCACACCTCACCTACAAAGGATTAGCAACATTAAGCACTCCCTGGAACAACAGCAAAGGCTTGGATGGTGTGACAAAAAACCTCTATTGTCAACAAAGTGGCTGAACCTGGATTGCAGGAGGTGTCACAGAAAGCAAGCAGGAATATTCCACATAAACTATCCTTAATTAAGAAAAGCTCCACCCTTTCTACCATTGTTAACGCTGTCTCTGAGGACATTTATTTCCTTGTGCATAAGACTTTACGTGTATTTTCTAGGATAATGAATTCAAGCTTTGTAGCACTTCTGGAAACTGAAATGCAACAGTGGGATTACAGACACCAAAGTAATGCCCCCCCCTTCCACAAGCCCCACACGTTACAGAATTAGTCTTGGCTGTACAGCAGACACAAAGATGAAGCAGCTGCTTTGTAGCACACATTCAATTTGTTCTCAAAGAACGTAATTTTACAGTAAGGCTGAAACATACAAAAATTTATTAGTCCAAAGGGGTCAGGGAAAACAAGTAAGGAATCTTTTTAAAGTAAGGTAGGGCTGCAATACTATTACAGCTCTATTTGTCCCTGACAGCTCAATTTACTTAAGTTATTTCAGGCATCACAGTGACTAAGTGGCATTCTTTGTTGAAAGAAAGAGTTTTGTGTTAAAGAATCATTGATTATTTAAATAACAGCCCTGCAGTAGATGGGGATTTTGTTGAGGGATTCTTAATAAAATCACCTACATAATGGGCAGTGATCTGAAAGCTACCCAGTCCTCATGTTCTGGTTGTTCAGCTATTCAATTCTTAAATGACTGTAGCAGTTACTCTCCCAAAAACCAATGAATCGACAAGTTAATATTTTAGAGCCCCTAAAGACACCCTGAAACCTCAATCTGCAAGGTGCTTATGCACCTAAGCAATAATTTAACTAGTCAGATGAGCAGCCTGCTGCTGAAAATCCAACTATTGTCAGTAGGGCGTAAGGAAAGTGGATCATCAACATGATGTGAGATAATAGGAAGCTTTCCAGTGCTCTGAGTTTTAGCCAAATAGGAGTACTTTGGCCAAAAGAAGTACAAACACATCATCCAGGAAGTAACCAGGCCAATAAGCAAAAGAAGAAAGGAGCACATCGCTCCTGCAGGCTGTTATTTTATTTATAGATGGTTATTCTCAACACTTCCCAATTTGGGTTTCTTCTCAGTTTTGGTGGGTAGGGGTTGATTGGGTTTTATTTTTTTAAGTTCTGGTTCATCCCAAACATTTAACACTTGATTGCTTGAGACAAATTTTAATTTCAAAATGCATAAGGGAAATAATAATTCCACAGCAGCCACACAAAGACATAAGCTAATTGATGTGGCAGTTTCTTTCTCCAGATGCAGTCTCTATGTGAATCTTGTATACGATCTTTGTTAACTGCTAACAGTAACATAAAAAGCCAGTAACTGTAAGGTACAGTGTTATGAATGCAATCAGTCCACTAAATTCAACTCTGGAGATTTTTAAATGTAAAAATGGTATTGCTGTTGCTATTGGAAATAAAAAGCTCTAGAGGATGGAAGTATCTTATAAGAAGCCCTTTCCTTAACTCAGGAAAATGTGACTTCATACCTCTGCCTCCAATTAAAAGCAGTGACCTCCATTACATCTGTTTAAGGTACTTGTATACCACAACAAAACCACTAAACTATCAGAGGAAAAAATATCTGTCCATCATGGCAACTAGTGACCTACAAGTAACTTAACAGTTCAACAGTTTCAGAAGACCCGTATCTGCACTTGTCTCTGACTCAGCAATTGTTAGGTGCAAAACTACTATTCAATACCAAAATTACAACACAGTTGGTAAAGTATTTTTCTAATGTGTCTCATCATATTATATGATGGTTTATGATTAACTGTCGGGATTACTCAACAGTAGTCGTGTTTGGAATTCAAGAGCAATTGGTAGTGACTCTTCTAAAACATTTATTCTTGTTACTCGTTTGAATGTCTGCTTAAAGGCTGTGATCTACTGCCCACCAAACTGCTAAAAGGTAACAAACACAGCCAAAGGCACAGGAGAGGCATAGAGACTTCATCTGTCCAGTCTCATTTCCGTTAAAGTTACCCTATAGCATCCTTCTGTTAAGGGCACTAGACAGCTCAAAGAGTTCCTGGGTTAAAAAGGTCCCAAATAAAAAAAATCACACACTGCAAGTGATTTTACTTTACTTTAAATCCTTTAGAAGTTTTCTTCCTTAACTCCCTTTAATTTTTTTAAACGGAATGGGTGGGAGGAATTTTCGTTTGGTCAGTCCCCACGCTCACTCCTATTGATACCACCTCAGTTCGTGTTTCAGAGTTGCCTAAGCAGCAAATGAGCTTTCTCAACAAGTCAAACACGACCTCAACCATAATATTGTTATGATGAGATAAAGCTGCTGGACTGTCACTGGTAGTGACATAGTAGTCATGGAAAAGCAGCCTTCTGAAAAAAAAAAAATGGATATGCTACAATAAGAAATGTCTTGGCACTTCATTAAAATGTGCAAGCTATTTGGCAGGTAGAGTTTCAGTTACTGCTGATAATTAAAACCCAGATGATAAACCTTTGCCTGTGCTTTGCCTATTTAATATACACACTGACAGTGAAATATTTAGAAGACTTGAGTCAGGTGTGCACCAAGAGATTATTACAGTTTTCTGAATTGATTTTCCTGTGTTTAACACAGCTCAACTGTTAGTTGCCTTCCATGCTCAGAGGACTATATTTTCATACATACATACTTCTATACAGCAGCAGCTTACTTACAGTAAATACAGCCCAGGAAAGAGCAGAATGGCCTCCACCGTGTAACAGCAGTAAGACAGGTCCCTCCAGTCCACTTTTGTAAATTCGAAAAGTGTATGAACAGTTAAGGACATTTCATAGAGTTATTTGAAGTTACTTTGCTGAGTGGACTTTAGAGTCTGCAAAACTCAACAGTATTTTGTACCCAAGGCCTCATTTCTCCCTCTGATCAAAAGGCATGTGCAAGCATAACCTGGACAAAACTTAACCCACTTCAAGCAAGCTTCAAGAATTGTTTTCCTGCTGCCCAGGTCTCCTCTTCCCTGTAACCCATGCACCTCCTGCCCATGCCCCTTCCCCACTGTGCACAACAGTGAATTGAACAACTAAGAGGAAAAAACAAACCCAGATCAGCATGCACTTTTGGAGTATTTTCCTTTATTTCCAAGGAAAAATGTCAGATAAGCCAGTAAACAAGATTTTTAAGGTAATAAAATTACTCACTGGAACTTAGACATCAAAGACCTTTCATTATGATAGTTAAAGTCCCCTTACAGTCTACATGCAGCCACTGAAATATCAGTTTAACCATCACTAAAAATAATGTCACTTAGAGAAAGGCACAGAACTAGGAGCTGTGAGATCTGTGTTCAGTGTCCAAAACTGTGACCAACAGACTAGACAAGACACTTCACTTTTCTGCCATTCTCCCTCTGGTTTTGGGCTGGAAAAAGCATTCCTCTGAATCTAACCATGCTAGCTGCAGTTACTGATGAGGCTGTTCACTGTTTTTCTGCTGAATACTGCAGTGCCCTTTGAATCTGCTGGTTGCAAACAGTTCACGCAGGTGCTCCCTGCGCTGCTTCAATTACAGTGAGCTGTGTCAGCTGAACACAGTTTCATCAGCTGGCGTTTGTTCACACAAGACCTGATGGAGCAGTAACAGGTAGTTGGAACAGAACAGGGGGCACCAACTCCATTCATTAATTCAGCTGCTTCCATAGTAGACATCTGTCCACAAACTTTCATATGGGAGCTCAAGCTTCTGTCAAAGGTTACAGGTAGCACAATAAATCCCAAACAAAAGATTTGCTTAAATTTAGGATGCTTATGTATACCACCTATCCAAATAGGTCCATTATCCTTTTCATTTTACTATTTATGAAGCCTCAGGGGTGTGCACGGCACTTACTTCAAAGGCAGACAAGGTGCACATCATGAAGAATTCATAGGATCAATTGGATAAATGCAGTTAACAAACATACAATAATGATAAGCCGAGAAAAACCAGAAGAGAGAATTTTCTCATTTCAAAACATCACATGCTACTGGCATTAGAGAAGTAATTACTAAATTGGTATTTGGAGAGAAATAGCTTGAAAGTTTGGTTTTCCTCATGGCCAAGCTAGAATATGCATGCTTAAAAACTATGCAACTAGTTAAACTACAAGGACATGTTACTTAAACACAGATTAAAATGTCTGCATTTTGTAATTAGGTCAAAAGAACTGGAAGTACCTCTCTAACCTGCTTTTGTCAGAGCTGTAGGCAGGGGTAGGACTGATGGGAAACCTTGTTCCAGTACCTTCACGCACTGTACTTGTTGGGGTGCTCCCAGTTAGCAAATGGCCTGGATACAACAGCAGTTTGAGCACGTCAAAGAGGATGACTGCCATCAGCTGAATTAAACAGTAACTGAAAGACTGGCAAAAAGGAGACAGCTTGAAAAGAAGTATAAAAGAAATATGAACATTTGCAAAGAGAGCAGAGATCTTGGAGAGGAAACAGCTGCAGTCAAAACCCAGTTTGACACTGGCAGAAGGCTCTCTGATGGCATCACTGCCTCTGTCTGGGCCAGAAGCTTCCTTGTCTGCACATCAGCTAGTGAACTGACAATTTAGGGTGCAACAAGTAGGAACCCATACCTCAGGTGTACATGTAACCTCATGTGGTGCTTTCTCAGAGCCATCTGCACTAGTGGGAGCAGCATGGGCAGCATCCACATCTCCCAGAGGAGATGTGCAAAAGCAGGAGGATCCTGCAGTCCCAGAAGAGACCGTGTGCACTTCTAACCCACACTTTTGGGGGGTGCATAACACCATGCACACATGTGTACGTGTACATGTACAGGAACAGAACTTCCTGGGATCAGTTGTAGAAAGGTTAATAGAAATTTGCAAGTGTTTATTATCATCTCAGTGTTTACTGTTGAGGTTTATCTGTTGTACTGCTGATACTGATCCTGAACATACAGCTCACTGCTTGCTAGACAACTACTCATTGTTAATAAAAAAATCAATAAACAGCTTTGATACTGATAGGGTTTAAACTTTGGGAACTGATGAGTATTTCCCTGCAAAAATTGTTATTGAACTGTTGGAAACACTTTTTAATAGTAATGATTACAAAAGAAGTGGTGTCAGGAACTGACCTTGCTAGGTACATCTTCACTGTCAGCTATCTCTAGTTACTGATACTAATCCCTACAAAAGAGAAAATGGAACATGAGAAGAAATACATGAAAAAGCAGAAGAGAATCCCAATAAACTAAAAGAGACATGAGACTACCCCAGTCACTGAGAATAAAAATTCAATCTGGAAAAAAGGATATATCCTTGCCAGTTTCATTTTCTACCACAACATCCTCCATAGATTCAAAGTACTGGCTCCAAAGCACTGGCGAAAAATCACGCTTTCTTCCAGGGCTGCAAGACAAAAATTTCAGTAAGAAAGAGGTATTTAAAAAATCTTCCATTTAAATTGGCATACAGGTGCCATTACATACATTGAAGAGTACACATCAGTTTTATACAAGTTTAGGATGGAAGCAAACAATGCATTAGTGAAATTCCCATTCAACTACAATATTAGCAATTTTATGGTCAGTAAGGAGATCCTCCCTTTTTTCCTCCTCACTAACTGCTGCTCTTGTTGAGGGGACCACAAAGATGCACAGGAAAACTAGTGAAGACAGAGAGAAGAGTATTTTCCTCGTAAACCTATACCAAGGAAGACTGAACAATGGTCATTTAGACTACGCAGACCTAAGCCAAGGGAAAAAGAAGATGGCACAGTGACACTGTCCCAGCACAGTCTCCCAATTTGCAATGACCCACATTGGAGTGACTCCAGGTGCTTCAAAAGCCAGAGTCAAAAGCCATTAAATACCCTTGTATTTAATGGTCTTGCTCTAGCCTTAAAGCAAGCCTGATGCTGACATGACTGGGAGCACTCTAGTGCCTGGAACACAGGAAGCCATCCTAAATTTATGACTCAGCCCATGAATCATAATTAAAAAAAGATTACATCCCTCTCAGAAGTCACCTTGACACCACTGTACTGAAAAGCTGAGCGTCAGCTATTTACTGAAGATTACTACTAATTTACCATGTACTACTTGCCATAAGATTACAACTTTCCTAGAATCTCCTCTAATTTTTGGAAGAAATATCATTCAGAACAGAAAGTCAACCTGCCCCAAAGGCTGAGTGGCTGGTAGAAAAACTGTGGAGACAATTGAACTGTGTTGTATAGAGAAGAAACTTAGAAACATTGTTGAGAGCAGAATGAATAAAATCCGCCAGGCTTAAGTTAATGGCAGCAAGCTTTAATTACAGCTCAACCTTCCTGGAATTTATTGCAACAGTTAAAACTTTAACATATTTGTAAACAGATCTAGTATTTAAATGCTCCAAGTAGGGCAACATTAGGACTGTGAAGGAAAAGAACACCACCAAATTTATTTGGTATATGCTTCCGTATGTATTCTGCCTCAGTTAAGTATAAGGACCATGTGAACAGCATCACAATAAAGACCAATAAACACTCCTCAAGCTGCCTTCCTCCATGTTCTTTGAGCTACACAGGCAACTGTATGTAATTCTGAAAATTTCTTGCAATAAAAACATTTTGTTAGGAAAGATGCTATCAAGTCCAGCAATGCAGATAAAAGGTAGTAAATCCAAAAGACTAAAGTCATTAAAAAAAAAAAAAAAAAAAAAAAAAAGCCAGGGTCCTTAAAAGCTGTATTTCAAATTAAGGATCATAACAACAAGACTGCATAACACAGATGCAGGCAGAATACTTCCATGTGACGACGGGCTTTCAGGCTCCGGTTTGCTCCAGGCTTTGCAGTTATTCCCAGGTTGCTGTAATTCCTTTAGAAGTCATAATCTACTCATACAGAAACGCTGCTTTACCGTCACCAAAAAAGCAAAGAAACGCACCAGGAAGGTAAAATCTGGCCAAACATACTCCAATCAACAGAGATTTCTGGATGCCCAATTCTAACCAGCACAAACTATGAGCTAGTGCCCAGAAGCAAGATTGCTTTTTCTATCACATCGTTTGCCCAATACTGATGAATGAGCACTGCACAGGCAAGAAAATCGTAACAGTGGACACCGGGGGAAGAGAAGGTGCTTTGGACATGGACCAGAACTACTGTGTTAAAAGTGGATGCGGTGTGATGAAAGATGTGGACATTGGTGCTACCTGTAGACTGCCTCATGTCTAGTAACTATTTCAACCTGGAGAGGTTTCCTCCTTTTGTATAAGCTGACATCTTCCTGCCAGTGCTCTGCACGCCCAAGGCATAATACCTGAACAGAGACAATAAAAAAAAGCCTGTTTTTTCCCAGTAACATTTCCAAAAGGTGAATGACAGTCGTTATTCCCCACAAGCAGTGAGACTCATCTCCTCTTTATAATAAGGCTAATTTCTGCTGCAGTTTGTTGACAGGTACATCACAAAGCACTGCAACAAATTACGCCTTCAATTAGCTGCTCTTGTAATACTAATGGCAGGTCATATCCAGCACCTTAAGGAATGCAATTCCCCTAAATTATTGGGTGAATGCAGAAGACCTGTTCTGCAGACATCCTATAAACCAGGACTCTGAAAGGTGCCCAGTTGAGAAACCCATTTATTTTTTTGCTTCCATCAAAAGGTGCAGCTGTGCCCTCTCCTTGTATCCCTATTACTAACAAAAGGCTCCGCAATCAGAATTTTCCTGATGACTCAGTTGATGCAAAATCTGTTTCTCAGGCTGATATTCACTCAGTAAGGCTAAAAGAGTAGTGCTTAATTTTGGCAGTGACATAATTAGGCTACATTTGAGCCCAGTATACAAGATGAGTAACACTGTACCATTTTAACAGGCTTTTTGCACTTCAACTCTTCTGGGGGAGGCAATCAGCACAGAATATTAAAATCAAGCATGGGCGTGGGGGGTGAAAGACCTTCACAGAAGAAAAATCTCCTCTGTTGAAGGATGTTTCTCCTGAATTCTTGGCTTCCTAAAGAAATAGAAAGGATCAGACAAAGCAGCTTTTCAATTTTGTAGAAACAAAACTCCTATTTCCCCGGATATTTCTAGAATATGAAACATAAAACCACCACCCCAAAGTGGTCCAAATTCTCTTCTGTGGGTTTTCAGACTTGAGTATTGCTCTTGTCAAGTTTCAGTTAAATAAAATGAGATGTCACACACCTACGTAAATCCAGAAAATATTAATCTCTTCTACTGCCTCAGCTTCATCTTCCTCTAATTAAGGAAAAAATATCACATTTAAACCTTAGCCTTGCAAAGAATGTTGTAGATCAGGAAGAAGAAAGTGAAATAATGTCAAGATGACCAGCTGTCATAATATTGTGGAGGACCAAGCACACCTGCACGGGTGTCCAAGTGTCCAGGGAAGGGAGACAACATTTACTGTGACACCAACAGAACATCCTGATAGGAAAAAAATAAACACAAAAACTCCCAGTGCAGGTCAAGGTTAAAAAAAAAACCAAAAAAACCCCCAAAAACCTAATGTTGAATTCCATATGCAAGAATTTGGTATGAAATACAGAAAATTCGTGTTATTGCTAAGGCTTCAAGCTACCTGACTTACAATTGATTTATCTTCTAGGACCACAAGAATTGGTATGATGAGAGGCAGAAAAGGTCCATCCAGCTCTGCAATGTGTCACCAAGAGATGCCAGCACAGTGAGTGCTCTGGAAAGGGTTAATTAGGGAACAGGGTATGATCTGCCTCCGAATTTTCACTATTAGCAGGATGGGGATCCCCAGAGACTGCACCCTCAGCACTGTGTTGAATTAAGGGAGGGCAGTTTCCGTTATCTCATCACATAAAATACAAGCCACTTGCAGCCAGAGCTACTTCCACAACATCTGTGACAACAGTGCCACAATTTAATTAGGCTTTGAGCAAAAAGGATTATTTCTGTTTGCTTTTAAGCCCACACTGTGATAATGTTTGCCTGTTCTCCTGTACAATATTAATGACTGTATACACCCTTATCATATTTCCCTTGCCTGTGCCATGTATTTTTCAAGCAGAGTCCTACACTATTGATTGTCTCCTTGCCTGGAAACCATCCCAGCCCTGATCACGCTCGCTCTCCGCACCATTTCTGGTTCTTTCTGGAGATGGAGAGAACTGCCCACAGCTTGGATGATTTCCCTTCTCTGGTCTTTGAATAGGTAGGATGTGCAGCTTGTGACAACAAGTTTGATCACCCTTTTAAAATGCAGCATTTCAGTGCAGTCAGACTTTCCCCAAGCATGTTACGGCTGGTTTTAGGTTTGACGGTCCTGAATAATTCCAGATGATTAGCAAATATCATCATCTGCCTGGCTACATCCCTTCCAACATAATCCATAAAGCTGGTAAACAACAGGAACTCCCTGGCAACCTCCCCCGTATTGTGGGACCAGAAAGTTTTTAAGTGAACTCTCTTATATCTCTATAAAGAAGGCAGAACATGGGGAAATTCTGGAGCAAGCTGCTGATCAACTGTATCATGCCAGATGAAGAGTTTTGGTTGTGACAAATGAATCCACTTTTGCGAAAGCAGGGTTACAGTATGGACAGCCGCTCTTACACAAGGCACGGGAACACAGTAGCCTGTTGACTAGTCCAAGGACATTAAATCTGTATCATGTAGGAGAGGTATGAAATCACACGAATCATCAGTAGCACAAATTTGGGATATTTAGTATCACAATTAATCATAACAAAAAGCAAGAAATTAATTTCTTGCAGTTGCACAGCAATGCTACAAGCCCAAACTGCAACAACATGAAATACAAGTGACAGATTGAGCTGTCACTGATGACATCAGGCTCAGGATCTGTCATAAGTAGCAAACCCCATGTCATAGTTTCTACCAGCAAGCACAGATTTTTAAGCATTCAAGATTGCCAGAGGGAATATTAAGCACAGCACTAACCAAAATCAGCTACAGATAGCCAAGCCACACAGAAAAACGTTCATTAATCCTTCATGGGCAAGAGCAGGTATAGAAGGACTCGGCATTGTTCTTTTTTCTGGCAGATGAAAAACAGATCTCAAAACCAACAAAGTGAAGTCATGTACCCAGGCACAAGGCAAGGAACTGCATTAATGGGATAGGGCCCGCGGTCCTGCTATGCACTGTCTCCAGGAAGCCGGTGTTTCATCCGCTGACTGCAAACAACAAAGTGAGAGCACGGTGACCCCGGTCGTGGCGTGACTCTCAGGCATCTAAGGGCAATCTCAACTTGGAGCAAAGACTGTGCTGCTACTGCATAAGGCACTGTTGCCATCATGTCTGGAATGCTGTACCTGCAGCTAGGTCAATAATTTAGGGATATAACCGAAAAGGATTCAAATAAGTATAGAAATAATCAAGACTGGAAAATCTGACAAATGAGA